ATATTTATTCACCCAAACCATATTTGGTATCAATGTTATACCTAACACCCACAATAATCTTGAAAAGAATGTAGCAAAATGGAAGACAGCCCTTCAAAAAGGTTGCACCTTCCAAAAGCAAATTTGCAGCTCATCCCTTTGGGTGCTGTTGGAATTTGCTTTCATAAAAGGAGGAGGAGAAGCAGAAAGAAAGAGGGAAGAAGAAGAGAAGAATCTTAGAAGCATTAAAACCGATGTCTTAGAACTTGACCTCACTCCATTCCTAAGGTCTGTAAGGGCCGTGCATAAGTGCACAATCGTGCCTACCGTCCCTGTCCTATTGTCCCCATTTATTCGTACCTTTTTTCCTGTATCCTTACTCATGTTTATACTTAGACCTATTCTCTTGTAAGCGATTGACAAATGAGATAAATAAATAAAAACAAATAAATTACTGAAACATGAATTAGGCATTCATCTCTTTGAGACCAAAGCAAACTCACTTCAGGATATACTTTCCCGTGCGTCATCTTCCAGTCTCTCCAGGATTCTTCTAGAGCCGAATCCTGCGCTACGGAAAACGCTTTCAAGGAAACCAGCCAAGTAAGCAACATCACCCAGCTTGAGAGCATTGTCTTCGTCTAGAAAGGCAAAAAGAAGCTCTTCGTTACCTATTTCAAATCAGCCAAATTCCCCAATATCACCAGGTAAAATCCCTGCCATGAAACTATCATGGTTGGCACCTTTCTCCTCGTCATACAGTCCTTTTCCAAACCCTTTCTAGTTTCCTGGACAAACAAGTATTTAGCTTTATCCTTCAGCCCCGTTGCTGTAACTGCATCCACACAAAAGGACTTTGAGTTGTAAAGTCTGCCTTCTAACCTTGAACTGTTGCTCTTGCGTTTGAAAGGGCTATCTTGATGAATCTCTGAAGAGTTCCCGGGACCCTTTACAGTGCCCCGGTTCAACCTACCGGTCAGGATGAAGCACATGCAATTTTTAGGGCTGTGTTGCATGCCCTGTTTGTGGCTGTTTCACCAGCTTCAATCCTGCTTCTGAGGATGGGAACATCAGGAGGCGTGTGTGAGAACAGCCAATTGTTGTCTTCGTTAGCCAGCTGAAAATCCTGTTGCGCTGGGATATTTGTTGGAATTTGGGAGGGGAGGAGGGAACACAGCTTTCCCTGCCCTCTCCTTGTTCCCATCACAAAAAGGAATGGACTGGCCAGCAATCTTTTCTTCCCCTGCTCTACTCCTGTGAGTTGTGGGTTTCTCTCAGACAGAAACTGCAGCCAGGAGAATTGGCAGGGGGGGAAGAAACACATGATGAGGGATGGGAAGTCAAGAGATATCCAGCGAGAGGATAGATAGCACGTTTGACAGAAGGAGAGCCTGAGTAAATAAACTTCACGGCGGTGAGGGATGAATAAAAGAAAGTTCAGAAAAAGAATGGAAGGAAATACTCCTGCTGCTGCTGAAGGAAGGTAGTAGGCAGCACAGATTTTTGAATGAGGCCACATCTGGGGGCGTGGGAGAGAGAGAGGAAGGGAGGGAAAGAGAGAAAGGAGGGGAGGAGGAAGAGAGAGAAGAGAATAACAGTTGGAAGGGATCTTGGAGGTCTTGTAGCCCAATGCCCTGCTCAAACCAGACAACACCATTTGAAAAAAGTGGCTGTCCAGTCTCTTCTTAAAAAAAACCTTGAGTGATGGGAGCACCCCAACTTCTGAATGCAAACTGTTCCACTGATTAATTCTAATTGTCAGATCATTTCTCCTTTATTCCAGGTAGCTTCTCTCCTTGATTGGTTTCCATCCATTGCTTCTTGTCCTGCCTTCTAATGCTTTGGAGAATAGCTTGACCCCCTCTTATTTGGGGCAGCCCCTGAGATATTGGAAGACTGCTATTATGTCACCCCTAGTCCTTCTTTTCATTAGACTAGACATTACCCAGTTCCTGCAACTGTTCTTTATATATTTTAGCCTCCAGTCCCCTAATCATTGTTGCTCTTCTCTGCACTCTTTCTAGAGTATCAACCTCTTTTTTATATATATATTGTGGTGTGACTAAAAATGGGTCCAATATGCCAAGTGTGGTCTTTACCAAGGCATTATCAAGTGATACTAACACTTCATGTGATCTTCCCTTGATACATGTGGCCAATAAGAGCCAACAGTGTTCTCCATGGCTGATCATTAATCAGTGCTGGTTTGGGCAGAGAGAATTTGGTGGTTTCTCTAGCCAGGCCTCCAAACCTATTCATGTTCAGTGACCTCGCTTTGAAAGAGGGGCCAGCCCAGTTATAGCAGCTACAAGTGGCTGCATTGGAGTGGGGTGGAGTGAGAATTGTGTGAAGAAGTAGGAAAAGACACCATTCTAGCTTCAGAGTGCAGTCCTCCCAGAACCAAATGATTATTAATTGGACCAATTTTAAGCATGCTATCACTTTTTCAGAGCTTAGGTTTTTGATTCCATGGAACAGCTGATGATAAGATCAAGGCCTGATGACCTCGTGGGAATATCACTGCCGGATCAGGTCTGGGCAGTATTTCCTCTCATGGTGGTCAATCATATCCATCTCAGAAGCCCACAAATAAGAGATTAAGGTACATGTTGCCTCGTTCTGTTGCCTTCTAGAGGTGGACGGTCCTCCCCTTCCTGTTTTCAAGACTTAGTACCATCTGTAGTTCTGTCCTCTAGAACTGGTGTACTAGAAATAGCCGTTGGAAGGAACCTTGGAGGTTCTTTGCAACTTTCTTCTTTGTGATAGCCCCTCGAATATTGGAAGACTGCTATCATGTCACCCCTTTTCATTAAACTACTTTTAAAGGCCTTCGGAACTGGCTGTGAACACCACATATTGTGGCATTATCTTGCACGGATTGATTACCTGCTTCATGGAGAAATACATTTTCTTTCTGGCTCCTATCTTATTGTTAAATTTGCCAATTTCTCCTGGCTTATAGTTTTCCATTAGTAAACCAGGCACCAGCCCCTCAGAGAACCTCTGCAATCCTATGATGGCTCAACTCACTCAAGAAACTTGGATGAACGCAGGAGCCTCCTCACTGATGGACCGTAGATCGCGACTCTCTGCGGCTATGGTCCGTGCTCTTTCGTTGGAGAGCCCCGATCATTACAATTAGGGGCTGAAGCTGCCTTGGAGGGGCGGCAGAGTAAGGGGAAGCCGCAAGCCAGGTTGAGGGGAGCTGCATCTCCCCCCCTGGGCTTGGTCTTTTTCCCCCCCGAAGACGACTGCAGCAGTGGTTTAAAATGGCCACCCCGAAGAGGAGGACTCAGCTGGATTAAGATTTGTGCAGGAGGGAAGAAAGAGGTGGATAACATCTGAACCGGGACAACTGGGCAATACAACTAAACAAAAGTACCCCGGGCTTAAGGTAACATGGAATTTTTAAGAAAAGAAAAGTGAGTGATGAAATTACAAAGGGACAGGGGAAAAAAATAAGAAAATATTTTTGACAGCTAAGTGGGGCTTTGAACCGGGAAAGGAAGAAGCCAGAACTAAAGATTTAACTAAATTGGACTAAAATATTTTGGCAATAAACAGGCATAAAATAAAGCTTAAGATTGTCAAAAAATAATAATAATAAAGTTTACAAATTGGAGACTGGACTGTGCTGGAATATTGAGGTTCGAAAAACCCTAAATAAAAAAATAGGGGGAAAAGGTGAAGACTTTGTATAATGGAGAGTGCCACCTTTTGACAAAAACTTGAGCTCAAACAAAAGGGAAAGCATCCTGTTTCTGAATGAACTTGTGTGGATATAACACTAAAGAAATATTGAAACAAAGTAAGAATCTTAGAAAGTGAAAGCAGAACCAGAATAAAGAAAAAAGCAAGGAAAGACTGACTGTGGGATTGATTGGTGTTTTTGGTATAGACCCTGGGCTGGAATAATTGAGAACTTTAGAAAATTGAAAGAAGAAAGAAGGAAAATAAAAGTGGTTTTTTTGTGGACTTTAACGATTATAAAATATAAGAGTGTGTAATGATGATATCTCTTCGGGAATTAAAAATGGAACTTAAAAATATGAGAGAATTACTACAGGAAATAGACGAATCACTTTGCTCTGTGTGAGAAAAAATGGAAATGGCGATTGAAGAACAAGAAGAAAGAGCTTCAGAGGAGGAGGAGTCGACTCAAGGAGAAGACATTTTAAATAGACAATTAACACAAAGAACCCTACAAAGAAGTGGGGAAAGAAGGAAGGTTAAAAAGTTGAGATTTAAGAAGGCAATCAAAGGGAATACCTGTGAAGTCGGGAAAGGCAGAAAGACCCAGCAGAAAAGGGGAAAGGAAGATATTAAGAAAGAGAGGGATGTAAACTGGAATGAGAAAAGATATGGGGAAAAGAGGGGGAGGAGAAGCAGTAAGAAACAGGTGCATGAAATAAAGAAATACGGAAAAAGTAAAACGTTGAAAAGAAATTGTTTTTTCAGAGATAATGGTTGATGAATTAAACAGGGGATTCTGCAGGGTGACAAGGGGTAATAAGAATATTTCTGCAATTAAAAATATTTAGAAAATAGGGTAATATAGATACTGATAACTTATTAAAAATCAAGGGGGGGAAATATGCTGCGGAATCCAAATGAAGAGATGTAATGATCATTATTGTAACTTCTTAAAAATAATCGTTTATTGGGAATCAAGATGAGGGAATAAAGGTATATTTTAATCATTGAGGCGTCACACTCAAAGCAGTAAAAGGGGGGAAACCTATACTTGTTTTTTTTTTCTTTAGTGTTAAAATTTGTATTAATCTAGAATTTATAAAAAGAATGTGCAATGGAAAGGGAATATGACAGACTAAAGAACCAACTAAATAAGTTAATACAGAGTATTAAAAGCAAGGAGAGACATTGGTAACTTATTATTATTATTGTTAAGCCTGGATTCCCCAACGGGTGTTAAGGAAAACAAACTAAACAGAATGTGCAGCGAAGTCAGATAGGAAGACAGGTAAATGTGTGAGATAAGCCTTCTCGTTAACACGCAGTAAAAATACAGATACGCTTGTGCTATCAAAATTATAATTTATTCCATTTAAGAATTATAGCATAGTCATGTAAACAGTCCAGTAGTCATATATCAATTTCAGTCAAGTCTTGTCAGGGATACTCTATTTGCAAAGTCCGTGTTGAATAGCCAATGTCAGTACACTTACAATAAATCAGTCCAATCTTCTCTCCGTTGAGAAATATCAACACACTTCTTCACTCCCCGATCCAGCAAGAACGCAGTCTTCAATAAGCCAGCCAGTAAGAGCCAGAGAGTGCCTTGCTGCTTATATAGTACTTTTACAGCTGCACCCTTAATTACATTCCTTTAGCTTAAAGTCACATACACTTTATCTGACAAACCATGATTCATCATTTTATTATCTTTACCCAAAACAGTTAGGGTAAAACAATGTTATCCCTAACAATTATTATTATTATTATTATTATTATTATTATTATTATTATT